TCCAAGCCAACCGAACGAAAATGAGGATCATAAAGATCCTACCGTAGCCACAAACTCAACTGCATCTCCAAGCCAACAGAACGACAATGAGGATCATAAAGATCCTACCGTAGCCACAAACCCAACTGTGTCTGCAGGCGGATCGAGTGAAGCCACAACGACATCTGGTGTCTCGGCGCTATCCGTGGCACAGTGCTCCCTTCTGCCACTCCTGCTGGCCCTGTTTGCCAAGCTGTAATGACATCTTCTAAAACGAACACCTACCAATAAACATTTTCTATGGACGTCTTGCTATGTATTGAGCATGTTCTCTGCCTGCCGCCTAAAATGGGAATAGGTAGACGGCAATAACATGGCTGTTTTTATGAATAATTAATTTGTAATTGAGTCGATGTGGATAGATGAGCGAGAGTGTTGTAAGCCTGAACGAAGTTAATTATCTACGAGGTCCGTCCAGCTTGCTACTGAGCCCAGAGCATACCCATCTTGTTTCTCATGCCAACCTAATTTCTTTAAGACGCCAAAGTCAGATAGAGCATTTGCAGCTTTCATGCCCAAATATTTCTTCCTTCTGGCGATGTTTACGATATCTCGTCTCCATCAAATCATCTACATCATAAATTGGCATATTTTGATGTTAACGTTCCTCCAATTCTATATTAATGTCAAACTACGTCTCTCTTTGATTGAATTTGGTATTTGCATTCTAGAGGGTATATGCTTGCTCTACGAGGGAGATCACAAATATGTCTTTGTCATTGGCAAGGCTTGGTATATTCTTTAAATGAAATTGCAATGGATGTCAACAGTGTTGTGTACCAATAGAAGCGAAGAGCCGAGTCCCAGGAAGTAGTCTGGAATAAGGAGCCACGATCGCCGGGACAAGAGCTTCATTAGCCTGACGTTTCGGATTCCTACTCGAATCCATCATCAGAGAAAAAAGAGCAGTAAAGGGTAGTTGTTGCACAAGGGGCTGCGGTATTTATGGGATGCAGCGGCCATGCTGCCGCATGCCTATGAATGTTCACGCCTTCCCCCTTCATCGGGGATTGTTACACTTGGGGTGATCATTGCTTGATGGCCGACATTCGAGTCATTCGACGATATCCGTCCACACATTTAAATTCGATGAGGCCGAAATTCTCGCAAGAGGTGACAACCGACTGAGCCGAGAGCTACTGGAATCATGGTTTACTGGCCCCCAGTCCATCAACAAGTGCAACGATCTTCCCATTCAATACAGGGTGCTGAGACTTCGTCTAGGCGGAGTAATTGGCCACGCGGGGAGCGCACTGGTGAACACTCTTCCCAACACCCGGCTCAGCGCATCAGATGGTCGAGCAATCATCACGCCAACATCCAACGCACGTGATGAAATTGCGGCAATTATCGACTCGAATGTCGGCCATCAAGCAATGATCACCCCAAGTGTAACAATCCCGGATGAAGGGGGAAGCCGTGAACATTCATAGGCATGCGGCAGCATGGCTGCTGCATCCTATAAATACCGCAGCCCCTTGTGCAACAACTACCCTTTTCTGCTCTTTTGTCTCTGATGATAGATTCGAGTAGGAATCCGAAACGTCAGGCTAATAAAGCTCTTGTCCCGGCGATCGTGGCTCCTTCTTCAAGTGTTGTGTACTTTAAACGGAAGATTTATTAACACACAATTAGCACGTTAGTTGAGATGACATCATAGGCTCTTAGGAGGTCTCCTAATTATAAGACCTTCGGAAAAACAACAAGATTCACTTTCCACGAGCGTGCGTGTGAACAAGGCATAAACTGTTGCAAAACGCGTAACTAGATGCATACTTCATGCAAGTTGTCTGTACATAAATTAGATGTGCCAACTCATGAAATGTCAACCAAAATTTCGAAATGCGTTCTCGTTTTGAAAAGATAAATTAAGTAGTTTTGTAAAACTAATCATGATGCATCATAAGTCTATCATGATCCAGTTACCTCAGGTTTTCGGCTATACCAGAAATACCGGTATTATTTTCGATTATCACTCTCGGAGATATAGCACCGGCCACAATTCCTTCAGCCGTTGTGCAACTGGTGCCGCGCGGTTTGATTTTTGAGTTGCATGACGGAAGTTTTTCAATCGACTCTCCTTACTGAAAACGAGTGTCCTTCACCAAATAGTGGATTATAAACGCCTTTCTGACAACGATCCTCCAGCTATCTCCCTCGATACTCCTATCGTTCGATCAGAACAATGTTTAGCAAAAACGGTCTTTCTGTCGGAAAACTCGGCTTGTCTACAGGGCCTACCCATCCAATACACCGTCTCAAATTGCTCACCGAAGTTAGGAGCAACATCTGCGAAAAGGCTGAGTCGATATTTTTACACTGCCTGCTGTGCTGCTTAAATTCGGACAACTCGAGTTGTCTCACTTTACCTGAACGTTCCCTGAAGATTTTCGGCGTATCCAGCATAGGCATTGACACTGTCCACAGTTGAGCCTTAGGAAATAGCTTGTTAGTTCTGCAGATTTGTCCGTTTTTCATAAATCCACTGCATAATGACGATTTGCGCAGCCACCCAAGATAATGCGCTGCGTGACGGAGTCGAACTACCGACCATCGGCATTTCAGTCGCGCACGCTAACCCCCGGCCACCGCGGCACGAGGGCGAGCGATGTCGCAAAGTTTACTTGATAGTAAATGCGTGCCGCATACCGATCGATTTTGCAGTGGATGCGAAATATTGGCCGGCAAAATCAACCGCCTTGAGGAAGCGAAGGAAAAGATGAAAACTCTTCTACAATATAAACTAGACACACTTGACGATGTGAATGTACCTGTTGGACGAATAACTAGAAGTAGGGCTAAAGGACGTCGCACAAAAAATACGCCATCAACACCTTCTGCAGCTGTCACGACACACCCAGCACAAACACATAAAATACAAGACGACAACAACCAGCGAAGCAACGATAAAATACCAGAGGAAAAAAAGAAATCGTGCAGCAAAAACGTCGAAGGACATGAACAGCAGATTCCGAGGAATGCCTCCGAAGAACCGGAACCAGGGACGTCGGCGTCCGTGTCGCCCATCACGGGAAATGACATGGGTCCTAAAACCCTCAACCTATCGCAAACAACTTCGGACTTTGATGAAAATGCAAACAAAACAGAGACGAATGAGGATCTTAATCGACTGCAGCTTATATCCTCGTCAGATCATGGCAACCACATATCGCCTATGTCGGAGCACGAAACCACGGTGTTCTCGAGAGTGTCGCCGGTCAGAGGACAATGTCTGATTATTCAGGGACTTCCCGAATCCACAGCTAGTGCCTCCAAAGAGCGGGTCTCGGCAGACTTGCAACTCTTCCAATGCCTACTCAAAGAACTTCTGCGCCCCAATGAGGAAGTTTCGGTTCTCAAGGCCTTTAGGCTTGGAAAGCGCTCAATCGACATATCAGAGCACTCACGTCCCCGACCACTCAAGATTGTGTTAGCCAACCAAGAACAAGTAGGACTTATTCTCTCACGACGATTCCGAATCAAAGACACCAACCGCGGCGTTTTTGTTCTGCCGGACTACACACCGGCAGAGAGAATAAAACAATTAGTTCTGGAACTGAGAACAAGGTTGCAGAATGGCGAGACGGATCTTGTGATCTACAACAACCAGATAGTGCAGCGCCCTCTCCTAATCCGTTAGACCGAACCGATCCGGATGAGGACACAGTAGCTTCCTTAAATGAAATCACAAGCGCCACCATAATCAACCGCCCCAAAAATCTGAAACTAACATTTTTTACACCAACGTGCAGAGTATATTGCCCAAGTTAGACGAACTGAAGATCCACATCTGTGACCTTTCCCCTGACATTGTCTCTTTGACAGAAACCTGGCTGTCTGAAAGCGTGGATGACCGCGAATTAATGCTACCAGGATTTCAGTTGTTTCGAAGAGACAGGAGAGAGCGTCAGGGAGGAGGAGTCGTCACGTACGTAAAACACGGCCTGTTTGTGTCAGAAAAAACAGAACAGTTTGCATGCAGCGTCGAGACTATCTGGCTCACTATAAGGGTACCAGGATCACATAGCCTTGAAGTTCTGACCGTCTATCGACCACCGAGGAGTGACTGCGAGGCTTACGCTCGTCTATTAGAGGAGCTAGGACGATTTGCTCTCCGGCCTGACGTCCTAATCATGGGCGACTTCAATGCACCGCTCATTGATTGGAGTTCACTATATGCGCGCGGCCCAGAACTAGCTTTCGACCGACGCTTCTTGGACATGGCACTCAGGTCATTTCTCACACAGCACGTCCTATTTCCCACGAGGGCCCGTGAGGGGCAGCAGTCAAACTGCTTGGACCTGGTGCTCACGAAATCGATGGACAGCATAGATGAGGTACAATGTCTGCCTCCCTTAGGTCGATGCGATCACGTTGTACTTCAATGGGACTATTCAATCTTTTCCGTGCCTGAACAGCCCACCAAAATTAGAAGAAATATTTGTCGTGGGGACTTCGATCAAATGAAGGCCGAAATCAACAATACGGACTGGGAATCAGCGTTTTCCGGAAATATAGAGGAGGATTGGAAATGGTTCAGTGAATTATTGTATGTTCTCCTGACAAACCACTGCCCGCTTTCACGGAAGGGGCTAAACAATCGACCCCGGTGGCTGACCCAGGCGTTAAAAAAGGAAATAAATAAAAAAACGGAGATTGTGGCAGAAATCTCTTCCTGATGGGACTCCTGTATCCATAAACGCATACAAATTCAGGGGAACTTAGTCAAGCGACTGACCCTCAGGACACGGCAAAATTTTGAAAAAGACCTATTGAATCGTGCTATGGAAAATCCAAAATTATTCTACAGCTACATAAGAAGCAGCACACGAAACAGAGATCCAATCCCCCTCCTGAAGACAAGCGGAGACGTAGAGATTAGTGAGGATGGAGAAAAAGCTGAGCACTTTCCACAATTTTTCAAATCCATCTTTACTAGTGAAAGTCCATTTACTCCTCCCGACTGCGACTTCGATGAGGGTCCAAAAATTGAGTCTGTATCTTTTGATGAAGCGACAGTTCGCAAAGAGCTAATGACGCTAAACGAGTCGAAATCACCAGGTCCAGACGACATACCGCCTAAGTTACTGAAGGAGCTCGCTGCCGAACTACCCAAACCATTCTCCATGCTTTTCCAAGCCGCGTTCGAAGCCGGCTGCTTGCCCGCCGACTGGAAATCTGCGCGGATCACACCACTGCATAAAGGAGGCAGCAAGGCCTCTGCAAACAATTACAGGCCAATTAGCCTCACCTCCATCTGCTGCAAAGTCATGGAGAAAATAATCAAGCGAGAGCTGATGCGCTTCCTAGAGCAGCATAATTTATTATCTGATGCGCAGCATGGGTTTCGTAGTGGCAGGTCTTGCGTGACTAACTTGCTCAACTGTTTGGAACGTTGGACTCGGTCAGTTGATGAAGGCAATGCGCTGCATGTAGTCTATATCGACTTTAAAAAGGCATTTGATAGTGTCCCACATCAGCGACTCCTGCACAAACTGAGCCGAACAGGCGTTAGGAGTAACCTCTAAAAATGGATTCAAATCTTCCTATTAGACCGTTGTCAAACTGTCCATGTCGGTGGCCAGAAGTCGACGGAGGTTGCCGGTGAAAGCGGTGTTCCCCAAGGCTCAGTTCTTGGTCCTACTTTGTTCATCATTTACGTCAACGATTGCGTGAGTGAACTGGATTGTGGTGTCGCCATGTTTGCGGATGACATTAAGCTCTGGAGCGTCATTCAAACTGCAGATGACGAAGAGCATCTGCAGGCGAACCTAAACCGACTCCAACAGTGGTCAAAGGCCTGGCTTCTGCCGTTCAACGAGAAAAAAGTGCAATATTCTACGAGTCGGCAGAGCTCGCTCTCCGAACCATATGGCCTACTGCCTAAACGGTTTACCACTGCAAGAAGTGGACTCGCAGAAGGACTTGGGAGTATAGATTACGACCTCGCTCAAACCCTCGCTGCACTGCACGAAGATAGCCAAGTCTGCAATGTCAGTCCTCTACCTTTTCAAGCGGGCTTTCTCTGCCTTTGATGAAGACTGCTTCGCTAAAGTCTTTCGAACTTTTGTGCGTCCGCAACTGGAATTTGCTATCCAAGCTTGGAGACCCTGGACCGCGAAGGACCTCAGCATCCTTGAAAGGGTTCAAAGGCGTGCAACGAAACTTGTGGCATGACAGGGTTCACTACCATATGCAACGCGGTTAGCTAACCTTGATCTCCTTCCCGTGAGTTACAGGCAGTTACGGGGTGAGCTGATACAATCCTTCCGTATCATACGCGGTCAGGACTGCAGCCTCGTACCGGAGGACTTCTTCGAGTTAGCAACCACCACAAATCTACGAGGCCATCCATTCAAACTACGTGTGACAGGGGCCAGACTGGTCACACGAAAGTTCTTCTTCTCCAACAGAGTGCTAGAAGCCTGGAATGCCCTGCCTGTGGATGTCGTTATGTCTGCTTCCGTCGAGGTCTTTAAGAGGAAGCTGGATTTGTGTAGCAGTGTCCACTAAATTACCACCCCGATTTCTGTAACCTCGACAAATCCGTTATTATAATACTACTTGCTACATTTCAGTAACATTTTAAATTGAATGTATTATTGTGCCAACCCATCGCCTACGCTTACTGACATGCACATATGCAAATTATGTCACCGAATATATTATTTATTTCGCTGCACTCGAAACGACAACTCTAGAACTGCTCGTTCCACTAAAATTCGAGACAGTTTGTTTGTCTGTACAGACCTGACACTTTTCCGATTATTTGTTCCTTTATGATACCTTTTCGAGTTTTTGAGATTTTGCAGTTTTTTGTAAACAAATAGGGAGTTCAAAGATGAAGACCTACATTTCCCTCAATAAACTGAACTGAACTGAACCACAACGGAAGCTTTCACCACGTTAGTTTTATGAGCGCTGCCTTCCGTGGCATAAATCAAGTTAGCTATTTGTCTAGCGATCTTGGATGTGGTATCCACGTAAACAATGAGACTTTGTAATGCACGAACCCAAATACAAGGGGTCACTATAAATGTGTGCACATCCTACGTTTTTTCCATGCTACTCGTCCTTTATGGGTGAAATTTAGAGCATTCCTTTTTGTACAAAGAAAAAAGACGAGTTTTTTTAGGATTTTCAGTTGAATGTAATTCATTAAGTAAGATCATCGAAGGTTAATGGGAAACTTCACACCAAGTCAGCACCATTTGTTAGAGAAGCTAGATGTTAGGAAGCAGAACCGCTTGCATTCCGTACTACTTACGAATCGAGAGCACATTTCAGAATATCATACACGAGTTTTAGAAAGAGCACATCCGCAGAGCCTTGATTTAATAAAGGGCGTCCAGGCAGTTTTTCGGCGATTTAGTGTAGGAATGCGTTTTTGAAGTGCATACAAAATTGCTTCGTCGCCGTTCAACACTGAGCAATTCACTTGCCTTAGCATTGTCTCATCCTCTATCCACATGCATCTGAGAGAGAGCATCCAATGCCCGATCACGTGGAATGCCAGTCAAACTTACTAAATACTTTTTCGGATTAAGGGGATTGCTTAATTGACCCTGTAATAGAAATCATCGGACAGGATAATCCCCGGAAATTTTTGTCAAGGGATGATGTCGGCTCCTCAATGTACCTGTACCGTTCTGCCAAACCGGGTAGCAAACGTCCGTTTAAATATTTTACGTGTTCCTTCTAATTTTCGATTTGTTTATAAATGTAAATGGGATTTGTAAAAGTTGGGCACAAAAAGTCTACTTTTGTTCGTTTTGTATGAAATAAGTGCTCCCTTCTGTCCTTCATGCTTAACGAGTCCGCAAAACGTTTTGAACAAATTTCATTTCATGTCTCCCAATAAACATGATCTATTCAGCGGTTTAGTATCCATGCGGTTTGTCATTACATGGAGCTAAAGAAGGGAATACATGTTAGGTGACAGCACGTTTTCAGCGCACATGTCAAACCGACATTCGCCCCCCCCCAGAATTGTCTTCTATATATTGGTGGATTTTGATAACGTGTAAGATATGCCGCGGTAAAACAGATTTACTTCATCAAACACATATTAAAACAAGCCTATACGTAATGAAATAAACTATGAGTTTTATAAAATTATTACTGCATACGTGTTGGGCAATGCGCTTATTCCTTTTCCATCGATAATCGCATGGACATCTGAGGAGTCATCTGGCTGTGAAAGACCTTTTCCAAACACGAAATTCAAAAAAAATCATAAATTCGACAACGGTGATAAGGAAAATTAAATGAAAAAAATAGGAAGTAAATACTTTACTGGAATCAGATGTTCTGTTTCTTTTATTCTGTGACAGACAGCATAGAATGTGAACCGGAATTCTAAACTATGCTTTGATAAGGAAGAATTACGCACGTGGATCTGCAACAATGCGTACCTTGTGCCGCATTCCCGCGATATCTTTGACAGGCCGAGATGTGATCCTTCGAATGTTCTTCTTTTCGCCCGACTACAAAACCGCACTCGACGAACAGTGGCGTCTAATTAGTTTTAGTAGAAGCTAAGAGACGTGTGCCGCAAAGCGGTCATGATGGAAAGGAAACGATCGTTGGAACGAAAGTTTTACTTACCTGAATTTAGCTTATCCTTCTCGCTCCCATCTT